AATTATCTAAGAGAGGGTTAGGTTTACAAGGTTGTGCAAGAAGAACTTCCCAAAGGCAGGGAGCACGTGCGCGAGGTTTAACAATTCAGAAAAGTAAATTGGTATGCCTCGGTGTTTTAAGGCAACTCACAGTAGAAGGTCCCAGAAAATATAGTGTATCTTAATGCCCTCATTTGCCGAAGCCCCATGCGGTCCCAGCGCCGTACATGTTGCACCTTTGTTTTACAATGTTAAGATTGTTTTTAACTGAAAATATTAAGGTGCACTTGTATGGGTATGTTGAGGGCCCGATGATTGCGAAGGACTTTTGATGGGCCAAAGGACCACAAATGCAGCATTGTACTAGACGCATTGAGTTAGTAGAAATAGAAATGGAAGAAGCACATGTCTTCCTACCTGGTTTAATCAGGATGAAGTGTGTTAGTCCAATAGGCAAAGAAATGAGGTTGAAGGCGAAAATGTAGGCAAGAGTGACACCTCTCATCTTATTATTCTGCTTTGGGTTCAAAACAGCAAACACTGGAAGCAAAGAGGAGCAAACAGATTCACGGATTAATCAAGAAATTGAATCTTACCTGTGATAATATAGGCTACAATATTTGGTAGGATGGTGACTTGAAGAAAACAAATGCACAGTCCACCCGGAAGGCCTGAATGATTGGAAAAAAGACGGATATGATTGAATGCATGAGTAGTAGTCCTGGGGGATGATAAAATCACCTAGCCGTATTTTGCCTTGTTCATTCAAGCTAGCCCTCTGGAGGGCGAAGCTAACACCAAATTCGATTACGACCACATTAATTGTAGTAATAATGATTCACTTGTAAACAAAGACCTTAAGAAATGTTGAAACGCCATTGTAGAATCTCCACTTTTGCTAATTGACCTTTCCATTTGTCCTCTTAACAGATCGTTGGCTCTCCGACACAGAGTGAGCGGTTGAAGCCCATAAGTGAGTAGTCGTTTGGCATAACCAACCACTCTGCAGGCACATGTGGCTGCTATCTAGCATGAACAGCTTAGGCTCAGTTAATGCGATGCTATTTAAAGAATCCAGAGGCTGACTGGAATAAAACTGTTGTTACGCAGCAAGAGGTTGTAGTCGCCTATTAACGTTAAAATCTAATGGGTACTAAAAGCATAAGATTAAAATGGTTTCATTTGAAATGACGATCCCACTACCAGTAACTGACGTCACGTAAAAGTAAAATAAGAGTTAATTCACCATTTGAATTTCCAATTCAGACAACTTGTTACTTTTCTATGATGACACATGGTATGGCAATTACTGTCTGTAGTCCCCTGGAGGAATTAAAGGTCTGGGAAAGCAAAACGTGATGACGTCTGT